GACCGCCTCACGCGCGAGGTCGAGGTGGCGCTCGTCGGCGCGCTGCAGGCGGGCAAGGGCGTCGGCGACCGCCTGCCCGTGCCCGGCGCCAGCCGCGACGTGCGGCTGGAGCGCAAGCCCCGGGTGGCGGAGCTGCGGAACATGCGCAGGTCGTACCTCGGGCTGGCGAGGCTGCATCCGCCGGAGGGGGTGCCGTCGCGGCAGAAGCTCGTGGATGAGTATGTGGACTACGTCAACGCGCAGCTCAAGGTGGCACGGTAGATGAGGGCGCGGTTTATTGTACAAGTGTGTGTGAAGGGTGGCGTGGGTGGGTTACGCCGCTGTGCCGTCATGGTGCACGAATTGATCGAGCTCGATGCCGACGAGACGGGAAAAGTCGAGCGCCTGCGCATGCGCGACGTTGCAGCGGAAGCGCGGCTCACTTATCGGATCGCCGCTACCCTCTCTCGAGAGGTAGTGCAGCTTGACCAGGGTGTTCACCTGCACGAGCGTCGCGGTCGACACCGCTGCCGACACGTTCCCCGCGGTGCCCTTGTCGCCCGCCTCGAGCAGCTCATCCACGTCCCGGATGGCCTCATATATGGCGAGCAAACGCTCAAGTGGAAATGCCCTCCCGCCCCTGCGGCGCCTCTTCGCGACAGAGGCACCCCCCCTCCCCTTGCGCGCCCTCCGCGTGCGCTCCGCCGTAAAGTAGCGCACGTCGGTCGCCGGCGGGTTGCACGCCGCGAGGTAGGCCGCGACGACCATGGTGACACTAGCACGACTGAGCCCGTACGTCGCCTTCCTCTGCTCCCCCCCCTCCATCTCTCTGCGCCTCTTCCCTCTCTCCAGCACGGTCTCCCTGGACACGCCATGGCTCTCCCTGTACAAGTCCCGTAGTGCGGCGGCCAGCAGCGGGTTAACGGCATTGAAGGCCTCTGCTGGGGCGCGGGCGCGGGTCGACGCGGCGTGCCACGCGGCGACATACTTCGGGAAGAGGGCGGCGCAGACGGCGGCGAGCTCTGGCAGGTCGTTTGTAGACGGGTAGAGCGCATCGACAACGGTGGCGACGAAGCCGCGGTGCAGGGCGCGATCAGTCGGCGGCGGGGCGGCGACGATAGCGTCGACGACCTCGGCGAGGCCGTACGGGGCGAAGAACAGGGCCAGCGGGCGGGCGCACGCGGCGGCATCTGCGGGCGGCAGGGCGCGGCGGAAGACGGGCCAGGGCGCACGCGACAGGAAGACGATGTGGAGGTCGGGGCGGGCCGCGAGCGCGGGCAGCGCGAGCAGCACGGCGGCAACGTGCGGCGAGAAGGCGAGCGTGGTGAGGCGCTCCGCGCGGCGCAGGACCAGGACGCTGGTCGAGGCGGCGTTGAGGCGGGCGAGGAAGTCCGGCAAGTCGCACGGCGTGGACTGCGTCAGGGCGCCGAAGAGCAGGCGGTCCGAGTGCGACTGCACGCAGTCGGCGCACAGGAAGGACGCGGTTGGCAGCGCCGCGAGCAGCGTCGCATACTTGCCCGTGCTCGACGCGCCCGAGAGGAAGAGCGGGGGGGAGGACGTGCGCAGGTGCAGGCGGAGCTGCGCGAGGTGCGCTTGGCGCGGGGGGGGGTGCACGGTGCCCATA